AAATCTTTATGCTCATTTGAATCTCCTGATTTCCTTGGTCCTTGACATAGAAGCCTTTGAGGGGAAAAGTGAATTATTTGTTTTTCTTCCCAAGATGATGATTTAAAAACAAACAAACATTTCTGTCTCCTTGAACTGCAGGGCGGGAGACAAACTTATGCTCCTGGACCAGTGTGCAAGATATCGTCGTTGTTACCAGTGCAAGAAAGGCCTGAACAAATTTGGGGAAAGCAAGATATGGACAGACAGTAAATATATCCCTGGATCTCGGTTAATGATTTGAAGCAGGAACATTTGTTTAAGCCTTCCTTTTCTTCTTATGAGTGCTTTTGAAATTGGTTTTTTTTTTTTAAAAGAAAAAAAAGAGAATCGGATTGTATGAACGTGCTTATGATTTGATTCTTGTAGCCTTGTGATATAAATTTTAGATTTTTTTTTCTTTTCTGGTGACAAGAATATGTTTTTCCCGCATTAAAGATATATATGTATGAACGTGTATTATGGAATACCCTTCCCTCACCTACCCACCCCCACATTCCATAAAAGAGAATCGGATTGTATGAACGTGCTTATGATTTGATTCTTGTAGCCTTGTGATATAAATTTTAGATTTTTTTTTCTTTTCTGGTGACAAGAATATGTTTTTTCCGCATTAAAGATATATATGTATGAATGTGTATTATGGAATACCCTTCCCTCACCCCCCCACATTCCATAAAACATGAATCTTTATTACTTTTTTAGAAAGGGGGGGTGGATTGATCTTTTCAGGCAGGAATGCGAGGGTGGCACATTTGATTCACAGGAACTGACTGCCTTTTTGTATGTTTGTGCAGGGGTGAGATTCAGCCGATTCGGGCCAACTGGATGCAAATTTGCCAATGCAAATTTGGACCTTAGGAGCAAATTACCTATCTGGGGAGAAGGCAATGATGGTTAACCTTTTTCTAAAGGTGCACCAAAATTGTGTGCCCATCCACCTGCACATGTGTGCATGCCCCCCATCTGTGCATACACGAGCGATCCCCCCACATGCGCACGTGGCCCCCTGCATGGGGTGGGGGATTTTCATCGTCTATAGGCTCCAGAGGCTTTCCTGAATCCTGGGGAGTACGAAAATAGCCTCTCCTGGCCCTCCAGGGGGCCGGGGGTGGCCGTTTTCACCCCCTTTCAGGAAAGCCTCCGGAGCCTGGGGAGAGTGAAAAATGGCCCAACGGGAAGTTCGGGAATGCTCCTGGCTTAGCCATTCTTCCACACATTTGCTGAGCCCTTAAAGCAGGGGTGTCAAAATCGATTGCATTGAGGGCTGCATCAGGATTGTGTTTGAACTCAGGGAGCCAGGGTGGGCATGGCTGGGGTGGGCATGGCCAGCTCGACGTCACTGCAACGGCCTCCTGCAGCCCTCTGCCAGTGAAAATGGAGCCTGGGGAGGTCACGTGGGCTTCATTTTCGGCCGTGACGGGCTCAATGTTTGCGGGCAGAGGGCTGCAGGAAGCCGTCAAGGATGAAAACGGAGCTCAGGCGGGTCATGCGTGGCCATCTCCGGACTCCATTTTCACTGGCAGAGGGCTGCAGGTGACTTCTGCCAACAAAAACAGAGCCTGGGCAGGCCGCCTGCAGCCCCAACCTCTGTTTTCACTGGCACTGAAAGCCAGTCCTTAGCTTTCTATGGTGGCCCCACGGGCCAAATCTAAGCACCCCATGGTCTTGAGTTTGATACTCTGTTGTATAAACTGGAGATACATCTCTACACAGCCTTTTGAAAACCTCTGAGTCTGTCCCACTCCAATGACTGAGTTACTTTAATGAGATTTAAAGTAGATGCTTTCATTAGATTTCACCGTGACCCGACAAAAGGGCGAACGTCAAAACTGCGCCCGACTAAACCGCGTCGCTGACATCATCAACAGGGCGACAACAGCCAGCGTGGAGAAAGAAGGGCGCTTTACAATAGCGCGTTGAAAGAAAGCCGATTTAACTTAAGGTAAGGGTTAGGTTTAGGGTTAGGTTTAGGGTTAGGTTTATTTTTCATTCATTTCATTCATTTTATTATATTTATATGCTGTCCTTTTCCCCCGAAGGGGACTCAGGGTGGCTAACAAATCAAATCAAATATTTTTTGTACAGACAAAAAACAAAAAACGAAACATAATAATACATAATTTAAAAACACACAACAGGCATACCATTCGAAATGGGGGCAACAGTTCTTTAGCCCCAGGCCTGTCGGAACAGCCAGGTTTTAACGGCTTTACGGAAGGCCT